CTGTAACTCCCTCCTCATTGGCCTACCTCATCGCAGGCTATCCCCTCTTCAGTCTATCATGAATGCTGCTGCCAGACTCATCCACCTTACTAACCGCTCTGTCAATCCCTCCACTGGCTTCTAGTTGCCCAACGGATAAAATTCAAAACACTAAACACGGACGTATAAAGCCGTTCATAACACTGCCCCAAATTACATCACCGATCTTGTCTCTAAATATCACCCAAACCGTACTCTCCTCTCCTCACAAGACTTCCTACTCTCTAGCCCCCTTGTCTCCTCCTCCCATGCTCGTCTCCAGGACTTCCCCCCCCCACCCCAATCTATCGCCTACTCTGCTCACTTTTAGGCGATCACTGAAAACCACGCTCTTCAGGGAAGCCTATCCCGCCCTCAAATAATACTGGAATCCTCTACTCTTACAACCACTCCATCCCCCCCACAGTTATTACCTTTTGTCCCACTAACCCCTCCCTCCTAGATTGTAAGCTCCAAGGAGCAGGGCCCTCCTATCCCTCTTGTATTGAACTGTATTGTTACTGTATTGTCTCCCACTATAATGTAAAGCGCTGAGCAAACTGTTGGCGCTATATAAATCCTGTATAATAATAATAATTTTTAAAGCTAAGAGATCCTCTATAAAAACTATGGACAATGAATGGATGTAGAGTAGAGAAGATAGATGACTCCAGATAGGCAGGTAGAACTTACATCTCCTTTAGATTGTAATCCTGTATAATAATAATAATAATATAAGGATTTGTTTTATCTCTGTATGACCTGGGGCCAGTTACTTCACTAAGTATATGTGTTTACAACCACGTTAAATATTTTTTTAGAAACGCTAAGTTTTGTTCATTTCTCTGTACAGCTCCTACAACAAGAGGCAAGCGGTGTAGCCGAAAGATGTACGTGTCGCCTTGTGACAAGAACTCTAAGGGCTAATTCACACTAGCGTTTTAACACAGCTGTAAATTGCAGATCACCACAAGGACACCTAAAAATCAATTTTTGTTTTTTTATGTCCCGAGTTGTGTTAAAATGCAATACGTATGCTTTTTAATGCAATACAGGTCAACATGTATAAAAACGCAGGTCAACTGCGTGCCACGAAATAAGTGAATAAAAGTTTGCGTTATGATTTTGTGACCCACAGGAAGGAACGTCACAGGAAATCCTGCAAAATGCAATGCACTTTTACGTGTGCTAAAATGGACATATATCCATTTTCCCTGCATTTTATCACAAGTCAGTGTGAAGTCAGCCTAAATATTACTGGTTAGATAGCCTTTTATAGAAAAGGGTCGATTTATAAGCAAAGCAACTCTACAAATATTTTGATGTAGAATAGTAAATATTTTTGCTAAAGTAACAACCTGTTAACTCCTACTGTGCTGTTTTTGTATTGCATAAAGAAGGTGACAAAACTTGCCAGGTGAAATCTCGCCCCCCCCGCTTGCATCTTCAGCAGTTTCCGAAAAACCCACACCAAGATTTTGCTGCCTCCAAATAACAGCCATGGGCAAGTAAAAAGAATATGCTACTCCAACATTTCATAATCCTTATATGCGTCTATTGTACCATGTACTTGTGTTAAAATAAAAAAACTAAAGAATGAACTAACGAAAATTAAGTTGTCAAACAACTTAATGGGTTAATGGTTCAAACATACTTTAAATGCCATACCTGTAGGCCCATTATGCAGTAATCCTGGCTGAAAAAACTAACAGGAGAGATCGGAACCATATTACCTGCAAACTAGCATAACTTGTATGTTGGAAGTGCTCCCAGCATAACTATAACGAATGCTCTTCCGCACGTGCACACACAGCATTTCCCTGTGATCTACTACAGCTCAGCACAGCACTGCTGCAACAGGTGAGGGAGCGCACACTGTGCAAGACCTGAAAGAGGGAGAGTACTTGTTCCAGTGATGCTGGCAGTGCGTTTAATGTCTCCCATATCACAGATAGGGTGGTACAAAACTCTCCCATTGGTAATTTCTCCACCAGGCAGTAAGCCACAATGGGTCTGCAGGTATGACGTCCAAATTAAACATCAAAATTTTAAATCTTTAAAAAATACTGGAGCCCTTGACTGTGTAGTTTATTGTATTACAAAAGTTGAACTTGGCCTTTAAAAACACAGAAATGCTAAAAAGTACCTTTTATTTCCAGTTTTTCTTTTCAAGTACAGAGCTGTGACAAACTTTGGAAAAAGTTAGTAAAGCAACAAGTTACATAAAAAGTCAGATTTTGGAATGCATTAAAGCCAATCATTCTAACAGAGCCATTTGGAAAATGAAAGATTTAGCCTTGTAAAGGCAGGAGAGAGAATTGGCGGAGGACTCTGGCACCCTCGATGAATTATCAATTGTTGGTTACAAAGGAGCAGAGCGAATTATAAAGAGGGTTGTGTTGTGCTTGACTGGCCTGGTTAGAACAGAAACATATTAAAACGACATAGCTGATGCACGATCTGAAACGGTGCGTAAAACACGGCACCAGCACCACAGTCACGCGCCAAGTAAACATTTAATTAGATTTAGAAGCATATGGTGTACGAAGAATACAGAAAAGGAAGAACGCATTCTGAGGGACATCACTAATATTTTCTACTATTAGAACAAGAAGTGGACTTTGAGTGATATACGCTGTATTTCATACAGTACACGACAAGCAAGTTGAACAAAAAAAAAAAAAACTTTTACAGTAGGCATTCTGTAGCTGCTCTTTTGTCTAGGCTCACTTTAAGAATTCCACAGAGCTGTGTGGCCTCAAGGAGGCTTATATATTAACGGAGGTACAAAATACCCTATTTTAGACCCTATATGGTCAAAAATATGTGGAAACCTGATCATCACACATATGAACTTGGTGGACATTCCATTCCAAAATTACAAACAGCAATATGTTAGCAACATTTGCAGGTATACCAGTCTCCACTCTTCGGGTAAGGTTGTGTGTCTGGGCCAAGGGAATGTGTCCATTAAAACAAAGAATGGTGTGAGTCCTGGCTTACAAGTGGCATTACAATTCATCCCAAGTATTTTGTTGAACCACTGTTTGCTTTAATTCCAGCCTTTAGTCTATTGCAGTGGTCGGCAAGCCGCGGCTCGCGAGCCACCTGCGGCTCTTTACACACTTTAATGCGGCTCTTCTGTGTGCCGGGCGCCCGCTCCCCTCCCTCCTCTCGGGCGGCCGCCCCAAAAGTCAGGACTCTGCAGCTAGCCCAGCAATGGGCAAACTACGGCCCGGCGGACCTTTTAATCCGGCCCGCGGAGCATGGCAAACATTGGCTGTCAGGATGTAGGCGGGGCAGCGTGACGAACTCCTCTCAAAGTCCGCCCTGAAGACCGGAACGGCGCGGGAACACGGCGAGAGGAACGCGCGGAGCAAAGGTAAGTGAATTGACACAATATGGGGAATGAATTACTATAGGGGGGATGAATTACTATATGGGGGATGAATTACTATATGGGGGATGAATTACTATATGGGGGATGAATTACTATATGGGGGATGTATTTTCAGTTTTAAAAATGTGGCTCTCAAAATAAATTTCAATCGTGGTTTTGGCGAGATTTGGCTCAGTTGAAAAAAAAAGGTTGCCCACCACTGGTCTATTGGGATAGGTCTATGCTAACTTTGCACATCTACACTTTGCAATACTTGCCCAGTCTTCTTTGCAGAACTGCTCAAGTTCAGTTAAATTTGATGTTGACCGTTTCTATACTGCAGTCTTCAAGTCATTCCATAGATCGTCAATGGGGTTTAAGTCTGGGCTCTGACTAGGCCATGCAAGGACATTCACATCTCTCTCCTTCAACCACTGTGGTCTATTTTGCTGTGTGCTTTGGGTCATTGTCATGTGAGAAGGAAAACCTTCTTCCCACTGACAACTTTCTGGCAGAAGGCAGCAGATTGTCCTCAAGAATGAGACGGTATTTTGCCCCATCCATTTTCCTTCTATCCGGACAAATGCTCCAGTCCCTGCTGCAGAGAAACACCCCCATAACAGGATATTACCACCGCCATGCTTTACAGTAGGAATGGTGTTATTTGGATGGTAAGCTGTATTGGATTTCCACCAGACATATCATTTAGTGTTGAGGCCAAATAATTCAATTTTAGTCTCATCTGACCAGAACACCTTTTTCTATGTGGCCTCAGAATCTTCAAGGTGTGTTTTGGCTGAGCTTAGTCGTGACTGAATTTTGCTTTTTTCTTGCAACCCTCCCATACAAGCCACATTTGTGGAGAATTTGTGATACTGTTATCACATGCACACAATGACCACTTATCAAATTCCTGCAACTGTTTCAGAGTTGCTGTAGGCCTGATCCAGGGAGAGTGTCGTACCAAATACCTTCCACTTAATGAAAGACTTCACTGTGCTTTTAGGCATTGATAAAGCCTTTGAAATTATTTTGTATCCATCTCCTGACTTTTTCACAATTTTATTCCGGAGGGCTTTTCACAGTGTCTTGCCACCCATTGATTGTTTGCTTCAGTTGCACTATCAGAGACTGAAATTCTCCAGGAAAGCTCTTTTCATGCTGAGCTAATCAAAAATTACCACAGCTGATCACAGTTGAAAGTCAAATGTCTTTGTGTGCCACTGAGAAGGTGATTAGCTACACCTGATAGAGTTTACAAGTCATTTTTGGGAGGGGGGTGATCCTATTTCCAACTCAGTGATTATGTTTTTGAACTTAAAAAAAAAAAAAAAAAAATTCTGACATGTTGGTGTTACATCTTTCACTTGAATGTTATAAAAGTTGCACTGCATACACTGACCCTCAGCCATTTTATGTGGCCTACCACTTCGTGGCTGAGAGTTGCTGTTGTTCCCAGTTGCTTCCACTTTGTTATAATACCACTAACAGCTGACCGTGGAATATTTAGTAGCAAGGAAATTTCATGGATGGATTTACTGCACAGGTGGCAACTTATCAAGGTACCACACTTGAATTCACAGAGCTCCTGAGAGCGACCCATTCTTTCACAAATGTTTGTAGAAGCAGTCTGCATGCCTAGGTACTTGATTTTATACACCTGTGGCCATGGAAGCAATTGGAACACCTGAATCCAACTGATGCCATTAAAGTTCTTGTGCATGTAAAGGCAGGTGTCTCCCACACACACATGCATAAAAGTGGCCACCAGCCCAAGTCTATAACTGGCTTATGAAGCAAGGACACATAAACAGGCATCACATAGTGAAAAAAAGGGGGAGAGAACAATGTTCTTGGACAACTTGCCAGCCAGCTTGCTAACAACCAAATTAACCTGTCTAACAGTATGCGTTTATAACAGGGGTTTAGTTAGCACACATTTGCAAATACATACGTAAGCCACAGAGCCACGACACGGCACCCTGATCATCTGTGGTCCTAACTCTAAAATTTATGAGTCCCCATAGTAGAGGCACATGCATTTAATGGATAGATCAAGGGCAGGTGGACCTGAGGGAGCCACCCCTCTTAAAGGCAAAGGAGTGCACTGGACCCCAGCATGTAGCACAATGGCAACCAGGGCCCTAGTGCACCCACGTACCAAAAACTCAAACATGCATAAAAGTGGCCACCCGCCCAAGTCTATAACTGGCTTATGAAGCAAGGACACATAAACAGGCATCACATAGTGACACACACACCCGAAAAGTATTGGGACACCCCTCATTGAATTCAGGTGTTCCAATCAACTCTATGGCCACAGGTGTATAAAAATCAAGCACACAGGCATGCAGACTGCTTCTACAAACATTTGTGAAAGAATAGGTCGCTTTCGGGAGCTCAGTGAATCAACTGTTAGTGGTATAACAAAGTGGAAGCAACTGGAAACAACAGCAACTCAGCCACGAAGTGGTAGGCAACATAAAAATGGGGCCAGAACATGCTGAAGCACACAGTGTGCAAAAGAGTCTATAGCTAAAGACCTCCAAACTTCGTGTGGCCTTCATATTAGCACAACAGTTCATAAAGAGCCCTTTCTTGTTCCAACATGACTGCGCATCAGTGGACAAAGCAAGGTCCATAAAGACATGGATGAGCGAGTTTGGGGTGGAGGAACTTGACTGGCCTGCACAGAACCCTGATCACAATCCGATAGATCACCATTGGGATGAATTAAAGCAGAGGCTGCGAGCCAGGCCTTCTCATCCGACATCAGTGCCTGACCTTATTCTGGAAGAATGGTCAATTATTCCCCTAGATACACTCCTAAACCTTGTGAACTGCCTTCCCAGAAGAGTTGAAGCTGTTATAGGTGCAAAGGGTGGGCCAACTCAATATTGAACCCTACGGACTAAGACTGGGATGCCATTAAAGTTCATGTGCGTGCAAAGGCAGTGGTCTTGAGAGAGAGAGAGAGAGAGAGAGAGAGAGTGTGTGTGTGTGTGTGTGTGTGTACATACACACTTAGCGCTGCACTATTGTTACTAATTTGTATTGGTGATGTATCAGCCGCTTTTGCTTACGCTGTAGTGCAATTTCAATGTTTACATATATGCAATCTTTAAGCCTAAAATAATTTTTTATAAACTTGAGCAACAATGGCTTTGGCAGCAAAAGGCTTAATATGCTTAAAATGCTAATGCCTCTTGTGTAGAAGTCACAATTTAGGAATGCCAAGCATTCTAAGCACAGAAGCATTAAATTCCATTTAGTATACATTTGGCAAGGACAGCTGCGAAAACTTGTATTTGTTCTATTAAACTCAGATCTTTCAATAAATCAAATCAGGTTAAAGTTCTGCATAAACTATTTTTGGTCTCTGTCCCTGGATCCCAATGACCTCCAAGAACACTCAGTGTTTTTTTTATACTATTAAATGAAAGTCCAAGTATAAGAGCATGACCAGAGCATTTTGTCTGGTAGGGACAGCCTGACTACAGAGGAAAGCACTCTACTGCTGCCCAAGCAGATTAAGCCCCATCATTTCAATAGGAAGGCACACAGGGATTTGTTTCATATGGCTGCTTTTACCATTGGCAACCTAGAAGTACACTTGGTGCACTTCCGCTGCACAGGGGAGATGTCTCGGACAACATTTAAATTAGATTGGATGGAAATGTCAAAGCCACTTACAGTATGTGAAAGGAACAGGTTGAAGTGGAATCCTGATGTACTTGGTAGCAGCTGTGCTCGATTCCTGGATTAAATCTATTTAAAATGGATATAGTCTGATAAGAGCGGGATGCACCTCTGTCAAGCCAGGGCACTCAGAAGGATTAGACTACTCTGACCTAGCTACTGCAAACCTAGATGGTGCAGAAGGCAGACAGAGAGAGACATGCAATGAGAATCTCCTGATCCAAATCAGTTGAAGACTGAATGATCATCTCATGTCAGTGGAGGACCATCATATAGTCATGGCCATTCTGTTCTAAACTGATGTTCAGCATGTTTGGAATCCAAGGAATTCTTACTTTAAATTCTTGACCCAAGATCATTATCCCTATAATCTGGGTAAAAGAAAATCCATGTAAGGTCCCTTTGCTTGGCTGTTAGTATATACATTCCTGGAAATCTTGAACTGGACACTAAAGGGATCTCCACCTGTCTCTCAGTTCTGAGTCAAGTGTTCTCTAACTTGCACTGATGAAGGCTAAACAGTGTGAAAGAACAGTCATAAGTAAGAATAAATGACTGTGGATATGACATTTGCACATGATCCTGGATGTATAGTATATTTATCCAAAAGGGGCATAAACGGAATGATTTTCACAGCTCCGCTCGCTAGCCTACAATCAGAAAAAATCCTTTAGGATTCTGAAACCTATTAATACCATTTGTTTTTAAGATGTCATGCCATAAATACTACATGTGCAAGCTGAGTATAAATTTAAATGCGTACAGATTCACATGTTTTTATTTATTCCACTAAGTCACATCTACGCACTTCATGCTAAACTCTAAGTAGATATAAAATACACAAATGTATTCATAATCTTATCCTTAACCGAGTTTATTTTAAATACAAGCAGTGTAGATACCTGAGTTTGCTTTTTGAAGTCCCCTTGAACTAATGACTTGTGCTGCAGTGCAAGAAGCATGCTGACAGAAAGAGAGAGCAAAGTAACAGAGGTAAGCTCATCAATCTGCCCTTTCTCCTTTCACTGTCCAACGTCCATTGCAAGGGTTACCTAACTGCAGTAGAGAAAACTCAGTTCTCCCTGTTTGTCAAGGAGGAGACCTGAGTAAATCTCAGGACTATATGGACAGCATTTTTAAAATCTTCTGGAAGAACGTTCACCTACCATATTCATATTCTTTTGCCATATTCCTAGAGATCAGCTTTAGTTTCAGCTAGAGTACACCTATCATGAAATATGGGGGCTGCCACTACTGGTCTCCTGAAAAATCTAGGTACTTGGCTGTGTCTGGTTGTAATCATTTAGAACAAGCATGCAACAATGGCAGCCTGCAGGATTCTCTTGGTCTGCCCCCTCTCCCCTCCCCTGAAGTGGCATATTTAAGTACAGAGATCTGAACTGGACCCAATGTGATAGTGGAAAGTCTTGTCGGCAATAAGCCCTTATACAAGTTTGTTCTAACCAAGACCCATTTTAGGATTGCTAAATGCAGAGAAAATGCTCACCTGTTGTCCTGCTGATGGAAACTGTATAGCAAACCTGAGATTTAGGAGTTGTTACTATTTACTACAAGTATGCATACAGTTCTGACAATTTACGCATTGCTTTCTCCATACTGTGTATTCACAGAGAAGCTTACAATCTAAGGTCCCTATCTAACATGCATACATACACATGCCTTGAACAAGTATGCATACCCCTTGAAAGTTCCACATTTTGTCATGTTACAACCAAAAATGTAAATGTATTTTATTGGGATTTTATGTGATAGACCAACACAAAGTAGCACATAATTGTGAAGTGGAAGGAAAATGATACATGACTTTCAAAATGTTTCACAAATATGTGAAAAGTGTGATGTGCATTTGTATTCAGTCCCCCGGAGTCAATACTTTGTAGAACCACCTTTCGCTGCAATTCCAGCTGCAAGTCTTTATGGGTATATCTCTATCAGCTTTGCACATCTAGAGAGTGAAATGTTTGCCCATTCTTCTTTGCAAAATAGCTCAAGCTGTCAGATTGGATGGAGAGCATCTGTGAACAGCAATTTTCAAGTCTTGCCACAGATTCTCAATTGGATTTAGCTCTGGACATAACGGACTGGGCCATTCTAACATATGAATATGTTTCATCTAAACCTCTCCATTGTAGCTCTGGCTGTATGTTTAGGGTCATTGTCCTGTTAGAAGGTGAACCTCCGCCCCAGTCTCAAGTCTTCTGCAGACTAACAGGTTTTCTTCAAAGATTGCCCTGCATTAGACATCATCCATTAACTCTGACCAGCTTCCCTGTCCCTACTGAAGAAAAGCATCTCCACAACATGATGCTGCCGCCACCATGTTTCACGTGGGGATGGTGTGTTCAAGGTGATGTTTGCAATCATGGCTTCTCGCAAAATGCAAATGGGACTTCTTACGGCTTTCAACAATGGGTTTATTCTTGCCTCTCTTCCATAAAGGGCAGATTTGTGGGTGCACGACTAATAGTTGTCTTGTGGACAGATTCTCCCACCTAAGCTGTGGATCTCTGCAGCTTCTCAGAGTTACCAGAGTTACTTAGCTGCTTCTCTGATTAACCACTTCAAGTCTTTTACCCCCTTCCTGGGCCAATTTTCAGCTTTCAGTGCTATCACCCTTTGAATAACAATTGCGTGGTCACCCATATGAATTTTTTAGCATTTTTTTGAGACAGATAAAGCTTTATTTTGGTGGTATTTATTCACCACTGGGATTTTAAATTTTTTTTTCTATATAAATGAAAAAGTCCCCAAATTTTGAAAAAAAAAAAAGTGTTTTTCTTATAAACTTTTGTAAATAATCTTTCTTCATAAATCTTGGCCAAAATTTATTCAGTTATCTTTTTAGCATAAAAAAAAAAAAAAAACAAAAAAAAAAAAAAAACACAAATTTAGTTTATAACCAAAAATTTTTCACAATTTTTTTTTTACATTTTTATTTTTTTTTAATATTATTTATGTTTTTTTTTTTTACATACTGTCACCCTAGCAGTACAGTGTACTACTGTTCTACTTGTTGGCAGGCTTATGAAGATTTTTTTTTTCCACCGATTGCTTTTACACCCATAAAAGGCTGTAAAAGCAATCATTTCTCCTTTTCTCTGGTTGCATTCTTGCAGCCATTGAGAAATACTGTGTGAGCTGTGATTGGTCACCGCTTGTCACAGGGTACAAGGCTGTTGTGAATAGCCTTGTACCATGTGACCTCTGTGATATTTCACACGTAGTAAGCAATGATGTCAGAAGTGACATCTTGCTTACTACTCTGCATGTAATCACTGATTCAGTGATCACATGATTGGGACCTCACACAGAGGTCCCGTACAACGATCGGTGTTCCACTGTGTCCGGAGGACACAGCGGGCACTGGATTGCGGTGCTGTGCACTCTCAGGGAGAGCGCACAAGCAAGGGGCGGGGAGGCCACCCGCCCTTGCACTGCTCAAGTCCAGCCATTTATATACATGGGCCGACAGGAAGTGGTTAATACTCTCCTTGCCCAGCCTGTCAGTTTAGGTGGATGACCATGTCTTGGTAAGTTTGCAGTTGTGCCATAATATTTTCATTTTCGGATGATGGATTGAACAGTGTTCCGTGAGATGTTCAAAGCTTGGGATATTTATTTTTTTTTTTTTTTTATAACCTCACCCTGCTTTACACTTCTCCACATCTTTATCCCTAACCTGTTTGGTGTGTTCCTTGACCTTCATGATGCGGTTTGTCCACTAATGTTCTCTAACAAACTTCACAGAACAGCTGAATTTATACTGAGATTAAATTACACACAGGTGGACTGTTTACTAATTAGGGTGACTTTTGAAGGCAATTGGTTCCACTAGATTTTAGTTAGGGGTATCAGAGTAAAGGGGATGAATACACAAGCACGCCACACTTTTCAAATATTTATTTGTAAAAAATGTTGAAAACCATTTATCATTTTCCTTCCACTTCACAATTATGTGCCACTTTGTGTTGGTCTATCAAATAAAATCCCAATAAAACATTTACATTTTTGGTTGTAACATAACAAAATGTGGAAAATTTCAAGGGGTATGAATACTTTTTCAAGGCACTGTATTAGGGTAATTTTGCACAGAAGTCAATTAACCTACACCATGTCTTTGGACTGTGGGAGGAAACCGGAGTACCTGGAGAAAAAAAAAAACACAACTCCATGCAGATAGTGTCCTGACTGGAATTTGAATCAGGGATCCTGGTGGTGCAAGGCAGAAATACAACCACTGTGTTGGCTACTAGGGACAGGTTTGTACGTGTGCCCAATGACCTTCTATCTCCTAGAGTGTCCTCAACCCTGCATCAGCTTCATATTTGTAGTTTCTGAGATGGAGACCATGTGAGGCACAAATAGAGGATTTAGCTCATTTTTTAATAATATACTTTTGGAGGCATCAATCACAAAGTAACTGAATTTAAAAATATGTTTAGGCTGGACAGGAACCTTTAGATTTGTTTTTTGTAACTTTTTGCTTTACTTTGCATGGGCAAAGCACAGGAACATTTTAAGGCATGCAAACCCCTGTTGCCTGCCCCCTGGACAATGCATATAAAATACATGAATAACATCGAACACACTATGCAAAGCAGTAAAAGATCCACACAATGCAAAAATGGGAGATGACATAAGAACAAGCAAACCATAATAATATCAGACCGAAAAGATGGACAAATGAAGAGAAAAAAGGGGGGCAGAGGGATTTAGTTCTAACTGAGAAACATTTAGGAGATATGCAAACATAATCCTCACCCTTTCCAGAAGCAGCTTGACACATCTCATATGTCCTTCATAGGTAGCAGACAGAAGAGGAGTGATGCCATGTTTATCTGGTGCCTATTAAAAAAAAATATAAATTTGTAATTTAATGACAAACTATACAACAGGTTATTATAGCAGATGCTCGTTGGTAAGTAGGCTTAACACTGAGGAATAAAAACACAGAGTTGTGCTCAGTGTTTAGTTAAAGTGGAACTGCACTGCATCTGAGCACCACGGACCAAATATTAATATTCAAAGCAAACTCCCCCATCCATCATGTCTCTGTGCTTTATTTTGCTGAGAAATCATTCTGAAAAAACACCCCAGGCATTTCTGGCAGTGGCCATCTTGAGTAAGGGCAGATGATTTATGTAGCATTTACTTCCTGCAATCCATCTGCCCTTATCTCAGGCATAGGCTGAGTTGAGAACCCTCTCTCTCCTCTCCTGAAGACTGCTGGGATGTATGACATCATTTGCCTAAGCACAGAAAACCAGGAAATAACTAAAGAAATAGAAAAAAAAAAAAACAAAAAAAACTTTTCCAGTTGTGGATAATAGTCACAGTTCTAAAGGCAAGACATAAAAGAATGTACTATGATGCAGCGTGGCAAATAAGAACAAACAATATTGTCAAATTAGAACTCCGTCCAACAGATTTGTTCAAATTGATCTCTTAACACCTCATCTCACCCCACCCAGATTTCCTGCTCTGTGAGTGCATTTAAGTAATTGTAAAACCTTGAAATGAAAAAATTAACAAAAGCATAGTACTCTATAGTGGAGTGCTTGACTCAGCACCAAGCAGGGAAGGTGATTTCTGTCTGCTCTGTCATTCCTCAGCATAGACTGTCAGAGGACCCCCCCCCAGCACGCAGCAGGTGATGACAGCCTCAGCTGTGCATGTTTCCCAATGACAATGTGTAGAGGGGGGTGTGTCCCCATTCCCTCCACTCAGGTCTCAGATTACATTCAACTCCAGGATTACATTTAGATTCACTTCCCCCTGCCTTTGTTCAGAAATGCTATGTAAATTCTGTACTTTTAAAGGCTGAAGAGGAGTGAGAGCTACAGATAAAACAGGTCCAACTTATGTAGGAAGATTTGTTCATTTCTGGTGCATCAACAGAGGCAAGTCACTTCAGTAGGTACAGTAAATGTAAGAGTTTACAACCACTTTAAGGATTAGCAAGCAGAAGAGGAAAGGGTGAGCTGAATTAAAGAGACCCTGTTACCAGACCATTCGTTTCAACAGCAATCTTCCAATCAGTTTAATATACATGTCCATTTAATGTATTATTCACCTGTAAAAGTCTCCCTTGTGTAGATATCCAGAAGTCCTGAGCACCACCATCTCTGACGTGATGTCAGCGACCAGCAGACTAAGAGCAGTCACTGAAGTAACACTCTAGTAACCCCTTTTCAATTCCCCCAGCAGCCACACAGAACATTTTGTTGAGAGATCAAAGGAGAGGCAGAGGAGCTGGGCCAGTATGAAGAGTAATTTGTCACTTCCATAAGAAAGGGCCATGGCGTGCTAGGAGGGAGGGGGTTGTGCTAGAGAATTGACCTACGTTGAAGAAGTCAAATGTAAAAGCACATTGCAAGTGAATAAAAAATCATGGAAAGGAAAAACGGCTACAAATAAAGCACGTAAAATGCTTGATTTCTCTGTGTTTTTTCCCTGTAATTATTTAGGTTGGTGACAGGGTCTCTCCAAGCAGAGAACTCAGGAAGGGCTGACAACACTGCTCGAGATTTCAATGCAGCCAAGGTAACAATGTCAGCAAAAACAGGAAGTTAGCAGCATACACTTCAAGTGGTTCTAAAGTCAAACGTTTTTTTTTTTTTTCCTAAAACGTATGCATTAAAGTGTTACTAAACCCAGGACCATGTGTCCACTGTATCTGGTCTCCCCCAGTACACAGAACATGGAAATGCAATTATTTTAGTAAATATAAACTGCTAAATACCTTTTCTCATCAGCAGTATATATCAGTCTTGTGACTTCTAACAGCGTCCAACTGAGCACTGGTTAAAGCTTCTAGGAGTTTTCATCCTCCTCTATGAGGATGCAAAACCCCTGACCTCTATCTGGACAGTGCTGATTGGCCCTGTGTTGATCACATGCAATCTCCCAAGAAAAAAAAAACCTCTCTAGCAATACACACCAAACTGAGCATATGCAAAATGCCTATGGTTCAGCCTGTCTTATCAGGAGATAAGATTTGGACACTTGAACAAGGGGAGGAACAGAGCAGTCAGGATCAAAACAGCCTTTTTACACAATGCAGAGGATTAACCCTTTTGGTTCCACAGTGAGTATAACAAGCATGCTTTACTGCATATACAGGATGATTTTACTCTTGTGGGTTTAGTAACACTTTAACAAAAAGTAAAAAAAAAAAAAAAAAAAAAACCTTCCACTAGCTGCTCTACTCCCAAATCCCCCCCCCCCCCCCCCCGGGGAGGCTAAAGGACAAAAACATTCCATTGTGTTAATAGCAAATGTGGAATTTGTACATAAATGGTGTTACCAGTATGATAGTATTAATTATTTTTCTATAAAAAGGAACAAACATTCCAACAAGAAACTGCAAGATATCTTACCACAGTGAGAAATATCAATGAGTTCTGGAATGATTTGTTCAGCGGGACTTTGAAGAAGTGGGAGCCAAGACCTTGCCTAAAGCTAGAACAGGCCTGACAGTTGACATGATCATGGAACTGACAGGACATTAAAAGTACTTACCTGAAAGTCTACCCTGGGGGGGTTACTCATTTACTGGCTGGTAGGCGAGCTAAAGACCCTGTTTCTTGTGGAATGTTTCTGCAATCAGGCCTGTCCAGTGGAAAGCCCTTTGATGCCAGGCAAAGTTCACAGGAATGCAGGGATTTGCAAGGCATTGTGAGAGAACATATAATAAAGCACGGCTGTGACAGACTTCCTAGAAAAGGTCAAAGGATGCATGGAGCCTCAATCTGGATTTTCCTAAGCACAGCATCACGTAGTTTTCTTTTTTTAGGCTTCTATTTTCATTTTCATCTGGCGATCTGGACAGTAAGTCTGTTTTTCACAAAAACAAGCTTATCTGCAAATGTATCAGTAGGGTAGCTTACAATGATCAACTTTTATTTATGCAAAACCTTTATAGCAAAAGGAAAATATTTGCTGTAACTGATTATAACGTGTTAGCTGGAGTTTGGCTTCAAATTGTTAGTGTATTTAAATCTGCTAGTACATTTAACATTCCCATCCCCCCACATTGACAATGCTGCTGTCCAAAGTTGCTCCCTGTGCTCCTTCATTCAGAATGGGGAGATTCTAATACAGTTGGTGTATGCTACTGCTCACCAGATTAAAACAGGGGGAAAAAGCCTAAAATAATAAAAGTATTGCAGCCACCACATCTAATGACAGGTAAGTTTTGGTTTTAGATTTATTACCGCTTTAAAACAGGTACTCATATGGCTGCAAAACGTTTCATTGAATTGCAGAAAAAGCAACCCTGCTGGTAAAGCTTTGCATTAGAATATATGAGAAACGTGACAAAATTATCTAAAATAATCAACAGATTTTTTAATTTGCAATAAATGAATGGAATCAGATTTATGTAAATAGACTATCAATGTATACTTTTTATTTTTAAATTCCCATAAAACATCAGTAATTAACCCATTATCACCAGCAATCTGTACATTAATGTCCTACACAGAAGGAACAATCTACGCTCTACTCTGACAGCCGGGAGAGCAAAGTTTATGCAATGCCAGCACACACTTTACATTTTCCAGGACCAGCAGCATCAGTAGGGTAGGAAGCACACTTTACGGCAGGGGTTAGCAACCCATAGATTGCGATCTACTAGTAGATCTCAGCCAGGTGACTGGTAGATCGCGGTCAGGGCTTGCTGACCTGCCACCCCAGAGCATCAAACAGAGTGAAATGCAGAGGGACTACTTGTAAAGTTGGAGCTCCAACTGCACTCCACCTCTTATCCTGGCTAGCGGTCTCCAGAATGGTGCCAGCAGCAGGAAGGAAGAGCTCTTCAGGTTAGTATGAAGCAATACACTGGGTATAATAGTAGAGAGTTGCTTTCACAATTATGTGCTGCGGTGTACTCACACCGCGGGTGCAGCGCAGTGTACCTGCAGTTTTCCTGCGCTTAGCCATAGAGTACTATCATGTGGATTTGGTACACTTTCTGAAAGCGCACCGAAACTCCCGAATACAAGAGTTTTGGTGCGCTTTCAAAAGTGCACCACACCTGCCAAAATATAATAGAAGTCTATGGCAAAGCGCAGCTAATCCAAGAAAGTCGCAGATGCACAGCACATCAGCGTGAAAGCAGCCTTATAAGGGGCTCAGGACAGTAAGGATTAATTTACATTTTTCAGTTTGAGGGTGGTAAAACCCATAGTTAAGGTGTGTTTTTACTGTCCCAACAACATTCCCTGTAGCTGCAGTGACCAGGCGTGTACACGTTGCAGCCGCAGCAGGAGTTATACACCCTATCATGGTTGGTGGGTTTAAACACCTGCCAAGCATGACTCATTCAAGTGAATGATGCTCCTCTGCAAGTGCCTTGCAACCTTGTGCAGTACAGCAAACAAGGGTTTAAAGCAGCCAGTATTGTGTTGCTTTCTCACCACCCGTTTTATCCCCTTTGGAGAAGCATTCAGTTGCGGGGCGCTTGCAGAGTGGCCTCATTCACTTGAATGGGCCTTGATTGGGAGGCGGTAGCACCTATCAAATGCAACAGGGGGTTTAACCACTTCCATACAGGGCACTTTTACCCCCTTCCTGCCCAGGCCTATTTTCAGGTTTCAGCGTTCTCACACTTTGTGTACAATGTTGTATGACCGCGCAATTGTCATTCAAACTAAAATTTTATCATTTTCTTCACACAACTAGAGCTTTCTTTCGGAGGTATTTAATCACCGCTGGGGTTTTTATTTTTTGCTAAATTCACAAAAAAAGACCGAGAACTTTGAAAAAGAAAACAAAAAAAACAAAAAACAAAAACACGTTTCTGTTTCTGTTATAAAAGTTTGCAAATAATTAATTGTTCTTCATAAATTTAGGCCAAAATGTATTCTACTACATGTCTTTGGTGAAAATAACCCAAATTAGTATTTATTATTTAGTTTGTAGGAAAGTTATGGAGTTCACAAACTATGGTATAGATCTGAATATTGATCAATCCTGAAGTACTGCTGGCCAATCTTTTTTCTTGAGGTCCAAGAATGTCAGAACAGTACAGATATCCATCAAATGACCCCTTTTTGCAAAGTAGACAGTCCGACATATTTCATAACAGGCATGGCGAGCTTTCTGAAGTTGTAATTTTTTTGTCATAATTTTTCGGAAATGAAGGAATAAAAAAAAAAGATTTTCAGTTTTTTTTTTTTTTTTACATACTCTCACCAGTGCAGTACAGCGTCATCATAAAACTGGCATGGCAGTGATCAGGGACACTGACTGGTGACAGTAAAAGAAAAAAAAATAAATTTTTTTAAAGATTTTTTTTTTTCATATTTCACTATGACCAAAGTAGTATAATGTTACCATAGTAACATTGTACTACTTTGGGGAAGTGATCAGTATTTTTTAACACAATTTGCTTATAGCAAAGAATTACTTTGCTATAAGCAAGCTTTTACTTGAATGAAATCAATTCATTCAGGTTTTTTTGCTTAGCTGTGATTTGGCCACAGCTAATCACATGACACAGCTGGGCTGTGATTGGCCCAGCTTGTGCATGTGATCACTGTGACCATTCACAGCTAGCCACACTTGTATACAATGGATGGCATGAAAGGAAGCCGCCCATTGTATACAACTGTCATGTGACCTGCTGTGATTGGTCACAGCAGGTCACATGGTACTGGCAACGGGGCCGGTACACAGATCTGTCATCAGCCGTATCCGGAGGTACATGGCCGGTGACAGATTGCGCTGTCACAGACAAGCCCTAAAGAAAGAAAAAAAAAAAAAAAGCTACACGTTACTTACATTGATATCAGCTCCCTTTGACAGGAGATACTCCAGGATTTCTTCTTGTCCACAGTCTGCTGCATAATGTAGAGGCTTCCGACCACCATCTAGCGTCCGATTAACATCCGCTCCCTAGACACGAAAGGAAATAAACAAGACTACTTAACAAAAGACTTATTGCATCTCAGTTTCACTGTGGTGCTTACACTTTAAGTCACACTTTAATTAAGTTTGACCCATTTTGATGTTGTAAAACAGAGCAGTAACATAACCTACCTAATAAATGAAACCCATTAACAAACTGGTTTCCTTATGTTTGTATAGGCTTCATGAATCCACTGTTATCAGTGAGTAAAGTCAACATATAAATACAGAAGATTAGAGCACCTCATGCAGACTTAAGCCAGCCATATATGGATCGAAATTGGGCCAGTTAAGCAGGAACAGTCCGAATTTGTTCCATGTATGGGTCAGATGGTTATAGAGAAGTTGTTTTACCAAGCAACTTCTGTAACTGTCCTGTCAATTAGTGCTGCTGGCTATACCCTTCAACTCTGGTCAGTGCACTGTGAAGATGGAGGTTGGATGGAAATTGGGGGGGGGTGGGGGGGTGGGAGGCTTTTCCCTGCTATCACAATACAATCAGCTAAGTGGGGAAAAAAGTACTGCAACTTTGCCCCTGTGTCTGTTAACCATTTGAGTCCCTGGGCTTCTTTCTCACTATACCTCATCGCCTCAAGCATATATTTTTCCCGTAATATACAATTTTTCGGGACAGATGGGGCTTTAGTTTGGTGGAAGATTTGGATACATATTTTTTATTTTATTTGGATCGGTGAATAATAAAAAATAAAGTGCAATTTCCTGTAACTTTTCCAAAGCAAAATGTATGTAAATTTGCATACTTCCATACATTTATCAATACCTATAATAGCCTCAAAGTCTTATTAAAATGATATCACATTAGGTGTGAGTTTTATGTAACGTAGTAGAACAGTAGGGTTTAAAGTGAAGATATGCATTTTAATTTAGAGGTCTATTCTCCTTTTCAATGCTACATTGCGATGCAAGCCAAAAAAAAAAAATATTTACGTTCTTTTTTGCTTGAAAATGTCAATAAAAAGACTGAAGGCCCACAGCACCCTCTGATAAATAGATTGATGCAGCTAAACAGGTCAAAATGATTAGTATTTTAGATATCATATTAAATGAAAACCACCACGTCCAACAGACATGAGGCCATTAAACAATTTAGCTATAGAATATTTTCAGGAACCACTGCTCTTTACAAAAATAATCTGTCATAGAGATAATAAACCGGAAGATGGAAAATGAAAAAAAAAAATAAAATAAAAAAATAGAAGGAAGAAATAAACTTCTAATGCACCCCACCACCTCCCATGCAACAGCTTTGCTAACACTGATCTGCTACAATGCACCTATGGAGTATTCTGTAGCAAGTCCAGAAGCGGCGTTCCATTAGAATTAATGGCACCCGGGTCCGCATTCTTCTGTGCAGGTGGCGCAACTGCACGGATTTTTGTGCGGATCCGCAGCGGCACCGCCCGCATATATTTGAACCTAGCGTAAATGTTTACTTTAAACCTTTTGATCCTGCTAGTTTCTGCACTTCCTGAAGTCTTCATTCTTAGGGCAATCAGTAGCCCCCAATGCAGCATTAAAGCGGTCATCCTGTGCCTTCACCTAATCTGCAGCATTCAATGCCTCTTGCTGGTTGACAGTTGTTTATGTCCATTTAGCAGCAGAGACTGGGACTTCTCACAGCTGCCCTTTTTGCTGGACAGTTTGGAAAAAGCTTGTAAAAGCATAAAATGCCTTGTTTGTGTACTGCTGCTGCTACTACTACTAGTAGTAGTACTACTACGCAGCATATAGCACCATCAGTTTACGCAGCACTTTACATATATTGTACATTCACATCGGTCTCTAACCCTCAAGGGGTGTACAATCTAAGCTCCCTAACTCACATTCATACATACACATACTAGGGTCAATTTAGACAGGAGCCAATTCACCTTCCAGCATGTCTTTGGAGTGTGGGAGGAAACTGGAGTCCCCAGAGGAAACCCACGCAGGCACAGGTAGAACATACAAACTCCAGGCAGGTGGTGCCGTGGTTGATTTCGAATCAATGACCCTAGTACTGCCAAGCGGAAGTGCGAACCACTTGGCCACTGTGCTGCCCGCAAACATCTATGAAAAAAAAAAAAGGGATGGACAGTGATAATCATCTCCCCTACTGAAAATTACGAAAATGACCAGACAAGGGCCCTTAAAGTGATATTTTAAAAAAAATGTGTTAGTGGTTTTGCACACAGCATCCGCAATCCTCCTCCTCCTCTTCTTGGGTCCCCTGCTGGAGCTCTTGGCCCTTCCCTACTGCCCCACTATCCAGCAGCTTGCTATGGGGGCTCCAGAGCAGGCTCGCTCCTGAGTATCTGCTCTGTGTGTCCATTCACACGCAAAGCACAAACTTGGCCTCCCCCCCCCCACTTCCTACTCACTGGCTCACTGGTGGTGATTGACAGTAGCAGGAGCCAACGGCTCCCACTGCTTTCTCAGCCAATGAGGAGCAAGGGACCTGGGGAGAGCCACTGCTCTCATGCACATCACTGGATTGCATCTTTGCAGGTAAGTATTGGGAGGAATGCCATTATTTTATTTTTGATGATACAGGTAAAAGGTCTGCTTTAATGCTAGTGACAGAGTGGCTTTAGCTCGGGTGCAGTAATTGCTGGATATTATTCAGCATTTTCTTAAAAAACAAAACAAGTAAAATTTTCTATAAGTCACAAAAAACTTTTTCCTTTTGCTCCAGATGATGAAGGCCGAGAACTGCTGCCAAAAAGGTTTTCTACACCTTTTTTAATTATTAAAAAATCAATGCATTCTTTGGAACTTGAGTGAACTCTTCAACTATGCTGGCAATATGCACAATTACTGTCTCCAGCTGCCCTTCTTTTAATGATCCATAACTGAGCTAACAAAGGGTAAGATAAAAAAAATAAATAAAAAAAACCCACACAACACACACAAACAAAACAATTTTTTGCATCATAAAAAGCTGGTGAGAATATCTGAGGACTACTCTCACAGGGCTACCTTTTTTCTAGGAATTCTACGCTATTAGGTCTGCTTCATATCAGTAGTACTCAAGTAAGACGAATGAACGGTAGAACCTGTTGGCCGCTTAAGCTTTTCCTTTGCTCCAGAGTACTAAGGACTGTTCCACTAGTAAGAATATTGTCCCCAACAAAATCATGAGAATGGCTTGTTTTTATCAGCTAGTTATAGGCACCTGAAGAGTTTATCTGCACACAAAAAAAATATAAAAGCCCTCTCCTAAATGCATGACCAAAGCTGTGACACGGCGCACACAGCCTCTACCAAAAGTGCCATGGTTCAGTAACAAGCAGGACAGTCTTGTAGTCCGTATTCCCCTTGATCACCAAGAGACCAAGCTGCCTACAGGCAGACGGTCTCTAAACACAGAGAATACAGGTACATCTCAAATTAGAATATCAAAACGTTAATTTATTTCAAGAATTCAATTCAAAAAGTGAAACTCAAATATTATTTAGATTCCTTTCACACAGGGTGATATATTTCAAGCTTTTTTTCTTTTAATTTTGATGATTATTGCTTATAGCTAGTGAAAACCCAAAGTTCAGTATCTCAGAAAATTAGAATATTACAGAAGACCAATAGAAAAAAAAAAAAAATAATAAAATAAATTGTAATACAGAAATGATCGCTTACTAAAAAAAGAAGTATGTCCATGTACAGTATAGTATGCACTCAATACTTGGTCTGGGCTCCTTTTTCATGAATTACTGCATCATTGTGGCATGAAAGGGAGGTGATCCGCCTGTGGCACTGCTGAGGTGTTATGGAAGTCCAGAATGCTTTGATAGCGGCCTTCAGCTCGTCTGCATTGTTGGGTCTGGTGTCTCTCATCTTGACAATACCCCCACAGATTCTCTATGGGGTTTAGGTCAGGCGAGTTTGCTGGCCAATCAAGCACAGTGATACCATGATCATGAAACCAGGTACTGGTACTTTTGGCAGTGTGGGCAGGTGCCAAGTACTGCTGGAAAATGAAATCAGTATCTTCATAAAGCTGGTCAGTAGAGGGAAGCATGAAGTGCTCTAGAATTTCCTGGTAGAGGGCTGCGATGACTTTGGACTTGATAAAACACAGTGGACCAACACCAGCAGATGACATGGCTCCCCAATCATCACTGACTGTGGAAACTTCACACTGGACCGTAAGCTACTTGAATTCTGTGCCTCTCCTCTCTTCCTCCAGACTCTGGGACCTTGATTTTCAAATGAAACCCAAAATTTACTTTCATCCGAAAAGAGGACTTTGGACCACTGAGCAACAGTCCTGTCTTTTTTCTCTTTAGCCCAGGTAAGACAAGGAATGACAGTTGTAGCCCATATCCTGGATATGTCTGAGTGTGGAGGCTCTTGAAGCACAGACACCAGCCGTAGTCTACTCTTTGTGAATCTCACCCCGAATTCTGGAATGGCCTTTGCATCACATTCCTCTCAAGGCTGCGGTTATCCCTGTTGCTTGTGCACCTTTTCCTTCCACTCAACTTTCCATTAATATGCTTGGATACATCACTCTGAACAGCCAGCTTCTTTAGCAATGACCTTTTGTGATGTACTCTCCTTGTTGAGGGTGTCAATGACTGTCTTCTGGATAATTGTCAAGTCAGCAGTCTTCCCCATGTTTGTGTAACCTACTGAACCAGACTGAGAGACCATTTAAAAGGCTCAGGAAACCTTTACAGGTGTTTTGAGTTAATTAGCTGATTAAAGTGTGACACCATGAGTCTACAATATTAGTAATAATACAATAATTACTGAATTAACTTTTTGATGATATTCAAATTTATTAAGATGTACCTGAACATACTTGGTTTCTACAGGAGCTTCATAAATCAGAAGGTAACAACTACTAACAGAAAGGACATGCTACATCATTGTTATGATTATTATACAGGATTTATATACTGCCAAGTCTGCTCAGCGCTTTACAATATAACGGGAGACAATACAGCAACAATACAGTTCA